TATTTCTGATTTTTGAGGTCACAGAAACATAACACTGAAAAGATAGCTGGTAACATGGGGGCCATTCTCCTTCTGAACTCCCCATCTCTGGTCAATGGTTCTGCAATGAGCTCCCTCGTTGTAGATGAGATGTTTGCAACATTTATTAAGATATACTTTTGTCTTTTTCTCATTGTTTTGTTTGCTAGTCTATTTTATTAGTTTCTTAGTTAGGTTTTTAACTTTGCATAACATTTTTGAGTTGCTTTGAAATCATGTATATTCAGCTGTACCCACATAAAAAAATTCCATGATCGGGCGACTTATTTGGGTGACAATTAAAGTAAATATTGAACCATTGAACACAGTGTCACAACTCTGTAGACGTATATAAATTATATCTTGTTTGTTTTGCTTTGTATTTTCCAGCAAAAGACGTCTCTCACAGGTAAATAAGAATTCCAAGATTTTAATTACTTGTGCTTGTCTTTGCATTAAAAACTAATTTCCTTTACTTTCTTAGATCGCAATGTCTTTTCAAAGGTAACTTTATCATGACATATCTCTACATAAACACATTACATGTGCACAGTATGAATAGGTTGTCAAATGTATGTATTTTGTTTCCAACTTTACAGATGAACAAAGGGGAACAGAAGGGGTAATTAAATGACATGATAATAAGTATAAATATAAATACAATATGCAGCTATTGTTTCAATTTTGTTTTACCATGTTCTGGATATTAAGAGCAGGAATAGTTATTAATGGTGTTTTTGATACCTTAAACTGAACCCTAAAGTAAGACATAACAACTGATGATTTTATCTTTGGTTGAAAGTTTGCTTTGGTTACAATTTGTATCTAGATGAAACTTTTTGGCATTGCAGAAAGTATTTAACATTAACTACATCAATTAACAGTCATATTAAAAACATACAGACTGCTTTAGGATGTCATAATATTTAACAATATTCTAGTTGTATGTCCAAGTTTCTTTACTTAGAAAGTTCAACATCATTAGTCATTTCACCTGAGTTAACATTTGAGCCTCATGGATGTTTGATAGTTATCTACAGTGCAATCAGAGAGTATTTAAAGCGATTCAATTTTTCACCCTTTAAATATGTGAAAGACCTATGCCAACGAGAGGTGGGTATGGCGAGCTACATTTATCTTTTTATTATCTATTTTAACAAATTTTACTTTTAGAAGATTTTTTTTAAGCAAGAGTTTTATTTTTTACTTTTGAGTATTATTTTTAAGAAGTATGCTTACTCTAACATGGTAAAATTTCAGGCTACTCTACCCATTATGAGTGACTTCACTGAAAAAATATTAGAATGGATTGAACCAAAAAAACGATGCAAAGGGTCACACAACTGTAGCTTAAGTTGTTGTTTGCATGCAAGCTTTGTGGTTTTTATTTTATTTTTTGTCTGCTGAGCTCATTAGAGTATTTGTTTGTCCTTCCAAAGATGCTCCATAGGATTTAGGTTTTTTTTCATTAAATGAGGTGTACCAATGATTTTGTCCATGTGAGTATATGTAAAGACAGTAATCCTTGTCATATTTAGTTATTAACCTTTTTTCTTTAAATAAAAAATAGATACCTTCAGGTCATCTGGAGCCTTACAGGATTGCCACTGCTGTGTTTTCTCCTTCTGGTAAGATGCTCTGTTTTGTTGTTGCTTTTTTATATTCTATTTGTTTTTTTACAACACATCCTCTATATGTTAATTAAAAAAAAGGTTAAAAATAGGATATTCTTTTACTGCAGCAGCATACCCACACACTATAAATATTTAGCAATGGAAATATCACAAGAACTCTTAACTTGAGGTGTTCAAAAAGTGTTTTTGTGGTGTGTGGGTGTGTGTGTGTGCGTGTGTATGTGTTGTGCAGGGTTAACAGAAGACTAGTACTGGAAGCCGTAGTTAATTAATAGGTCATTCAAACTGAGGTTAAAAAACAATTAATGATTATAAGAACTGTAATTTGCTTACTCATTAGGGTTCTTAATCTTTTACATGAAAGTTGGATCAGATGAGAGGTAATGAGCAATCGAGCAGAATTGGACAGGTGAATGAAATTACTAATTAAGCCAGTCATCAGTGCCAAGATCATGACAGATAATAATTGAACTTTATTGATCTCACATGGGAGAAATTTATTCTGCATTTAACCCATCCCCTTCAGGAGCAGTGGGCTGCCATCGTGGGGCATCTGGGGAGCGGTGTGGGGTTAAGGGTCTTGCTCAGAGACTCAATGGGGCTTGAACTCAGGACCTCAGGACTCAAAGCTTTATGCCCTAACCACTAGGCAACCAACCCCCATGCAGCAAACCGGTGGAACTTACATTTAAATGCACGCCTTTCCTCCACCATCAAGCCACTGTTACACCTGCTGCCATACCGGGACAGACCAGGCCAATTTGGCCAGTTGAATTTGAGGAGGGACACATGCAGCAGCGTATGGAGAAAAGGGTTGTGTGACATGTGTCTGGTGCTGGCTGCTGTGGTGTGTGTAGGTAACGAGCAATGCAAATGAGGATAAGAAGCAATGGACTCAGTCTTAGCATGTATTAAAAGGAAGAGGGAAGACGGGGCAGAGATGGAGAGAGACAAAAATAGAAAGGAGCTGGAGTAGGAGGATGTGGCCAAATTCAGAACGTAAGTAACAGATTTATTCATGGCCTGTTACATGACTGCCTCCTGCCCAGAAAAAATCTCCAGATTTAGCCCTGCCTGCTGCCAAATTCCAGAGAGCCTACACTTATGCAGACTCACTATTTAAGGGCTGAATGGTCCATTTGCCCTATCCACTACGGGGTTTGGGATGGCACCTAATGTGGCGGACGCTCCGCGGGAACGTGCAAACAGAGGGTTAGTCCTTAAGGGCCGGTTTGGAATTGGGCCTCCCAGCCTTTTCCACAAGTACCTTATGGTAACTAAAAAGCATATTGGAATATTTATGTTGTCATAGAAGCAACTTTTCTCCCTATGACTTCATTCTCCAGACCCTATGGGCTGAGCTGAAGAGAGGAGAAAAAAAGGACTCAGGCATTCAGAACATTCAAAATGCAAAGACAATTGGTCAAATGGTCCTTTTCTTTCATTTTAAAACTTTGTAAAAAAAAAAAAAAAAAAAAAAGGAAATAAGCATGATCTTTTTATAAATAAGGATTATTCCTTTAAGTCTACATTAACTTATAAGCAGGATTACTCACATAAAGGGGAGTTTTACTATATATTAAGNAAGCAGGATTACTCACATAAAGGGGAGTTTTACTATATATTAAGGAATTTTATACATTCTAAGCAGGGGTGCCAAACAAACAGCATGCTATCAGAGCAATCTTAAACACCTACCGTTAAAGTAGCCTTTGGTTATTATCATTATTATTAGGTCATTGTATTTGTAACTGAAAAATGTAATGTGACAAAGATTTTATTTATTATTGTTGAATAGAAATATTCAACATCTTTAAAATCATGTCCTTAAAAATGTTTTTTCTTTTGCTTCAGATTATCAAGTACAAAACGTGAAAGAGTATTATGAGCAAAATGATGTAAGTCTGAAAAAAAACAGATCTGAATGCAATGTAGTGTCTCCTCAAGCTGTGTTTAATGCTTTTGTTCTTTCAGCCTGGCTTTGTTTACCACACATACTCCACCATCCCTGATTAGTCCATTCTTTTTTCTGTCAAGCTGAAGCCATGAAGATATGCTGAAATAAGATTTTCTTATTTCTTGAAGAGGAGACAAAACTACTCAGATAAATGTTCTCTCTAAAGCTGTCTTTTTAAGAATTTAATTTTCAAGCAGTAATTTCATCCTATAAGCTGCCCTTTACATTTTGTGGTCTTTAAAAAATAAAATTAATGCATTTAATTTGAATTAACTAAATTTATGTTTTTATTTTCTGTATTTTGTGTTTTGTTTTTCCTAGTTATTTGCTTCAACCAAATGTTAATCTTAGTAGATAAAATCTATGCAATGTTTCTGTTTTCTTTTCTTTATCAAAATGCATGCCTGTATCATTAAGAGTGTTATTCGAGAATATTCAGAACAACTGTAAATCCTCCTGTTGACACATTCTCAAGCTGAGTTGTTGATTTCTGCAGCTCCTTCAGAGAAATGATGCCCTTTTTGATGTATTTCTGGTTATGGTTGGCCTGGTTGTTTTTTACATAGATGCTCTATGCAATTTATATACTGGATTAGAGGTTACGCAGGCTCTTGGTAATATATTCTGTTATAACTTCACACAGCTTTAAACTCCTACACTGATGTTCTACTGTATATCAAACCTCTGACTATGTCACAACATTTGTATATTTTAAAAGTCATTCAATATTCTCTGGTGGACTCCATCTACAGAATCCATCTAGACATTTTGTACCATCCAGCCAGCCAACAAGCCATATAAACTAATTTAAGCCACTTTGATTTCAGCTGTTTTGATTTCTGCCTATTAAGGTTTAATTAAAATCCCATAATTGTGTAGTTTGTAAGGGATTTTTTTAAAATTATAAGTTGTTGACATTCTCTTTTGTTTTCTATTTGCACACTTTACAAAGGAAAGGAGAAAGCAGAATTTTATGAGCCGCTGGTACAAAGTACAAATAAGTTACAACAGTAACCAAGCAACAGCTTCTCATGTTTGAGAAGTTTCTTGTTTCTGCTGTAGTCAGCAGCATCTAAACCAATGTTACTTACATAGAATAGCCACAGGTCTCTGCAGGCTGTTAAATGAGGTTGATGTGATATAATAGTAGATGGGGTTTTCCTGATTACAAATATAAATATGTGAAACAAATGTGGCCTTTAGAGTCAGGTCACTTTCTGAAAGTGATTGAAAAACTTTACTTAATTATGACAAAAAGCATGTTGTTTATCACCTTCATCTGTAGGTTAGGGGTATTTTTGGTAATCTTTATCTTTCAATAAAAACCTTAAAAATTAAGTTTTTTTTAAACAATAGTTCCATAAAATATTGGTCTAAGCCTCCAAATCATTTACTGCTGAGTGTTAGCCAATTTCACAACCACTCATGTAAAAGATGCAGAATAGGTACTTCCCATGAGCTCAGTGAAATTCAGCTTGATAGAATGGTTGTATTTCATCCTGGGGAGACTCACACAGAGTAGAGTTGTAATTCTACCCCTTTAACACTGGCCAAACAGCCCGCTTAAACCTGGGAACAGTTAGCTTTTAGAGGCAGTGGGAACGGCTCACTGACTTGTGTCGACCCGGGTCACACGACTCACCAAGGAACCCAGTTTAAAATCGCCTTCAAACAAGTCGGCTCTGATTGGCTAGGAGCTTGTCATGGGAACACCAGAGCCCGCTAAATTACCTGATACCACTGAGCGCAAAGTACCAGTGTCAACACAACTTGCCAGTCGCATCTGATCTAACGAGCCAAATGTGGCAATAAGAATGATCGTCTTGATGCCAAAAAGAGCCCAACAGATTTTGCTTTCACAAGCGGAACACTACGGCTATCGCCATAGTGTTCCGCTTTATTTATGCATATAAAAAGCTTTATTATAATTCATGCAGGGAGTATTACAGATTATATGGACACTGCAATGAGAAAATAAAACAGGAAAGGAAAAACAGGAAAAAGGAGAAAAGATGAAAGAAAAAGGAGATAAAAGGGACATAATGATAAAATGTCTTTTGTCTGCGTCATCACCTGCAAAGAGAGATGTAAAAAGAACAGCACAACCAATGGATTTAGTATAAAAGATATAATAAAGTAACACCTTGATACTATCGCTGAAGTATAAATAGTATTATTTAATCTGACATGTATACTGTGGTAGCTTAAGATAAGAATATGAGCTTTCTGTATGGAAGTAAATCTCTAAGTACCTGGAGCCAAGCACCTGTAGTTGTTTGTGAGCGTGCACTTGTGCATATAAAGTTTATCCAAAGGAAAAATGCTCAATAGAGGTTGTGAAGAGCCAAAGACCCGCCCTCCAGAGCACTGAAGCAGGCGCCGAGGGACCCAAAACCCCAAACGCCCAAAGGGATCCTCAGAGCAAAGGCGCCCAGGAGGGGACAACCCAGGAAATCTGCCCCCACACCAAGGGAAGAGGAAAAACGACCCAGAGGAAACCGCCCTGCCGCTGCAATGCCGAAGCCCCCAGGAGCTGCAGGGATGAGCCCGTGTGCTCCACTGGCAGCCAGTCACCCCGAGGTGTAATCAGCCATGGGCCCCGGGGACCTGAGGCCCCAGTGGTGTCCCACCATCCGACGGGAGCCCCGACCAGACGCAGAGGGTCCGAGGACCCGGCACCCCTTTGGAGCGCTGGTGCCCTGTCCCGGGATTACCGGATGACCCAGTAGATGAACTCTGAAATCCAGACTAGATCCAACCCATCTAGTTCCTGCTTCGGACCCTTTGTTTGAAGTAGAAGGACTTAGAGTTCTATATAAACTGAAAAAAAAAAAAAAAAAAAAAAAAAAAAACACTATGGTTGAAGAAAAATGACAAAAAAACATTGTAAAATGAAGCAAATATCTCCCTNCTTCCCATGAGCTCAGTGAAATTCAGCTTGATAGAATGGTAGTATTACTGGGGAGACTCACACAGAGAAGAGTTGTAATTCTACCCCTTTAACACTGGCCAACCAACCCACTTAAAACTGGGAACAGTTAGCTTTTAGAGGCAGTGAGAAAGGCTCACTGACTTGTGTCGACCCGGGTCAAACGACTCACCAAGGGACCCGGATTAAAATCGCCTTCAAACAAGTCGGCTCTGATCGGCCTGTCATGGGAACACCAGACCCCGGTCAGCTAATTTACCTGATACCACTGAGCACAAAGTATCAGCATCAACACAACTTGCCAGTCACATCTGATCTAACAAGCCAAATGTGGCAATACGAATAATCGTCTTGATGCCAAAAAGAGCCCAACAGATTTTGCTTTCACAAGCGGAACACCATGGCTATCGCCATAGTGTTCCGCTTTATTTATGCATATGAAAAGCTTTATTAAAATTCATGCAGGGAGTGTTACAGATTATATGGACACAATAATGAGAAAGTAAAACAGGAAAGGAAAAACAGGAAAAAGGGGAAAAGATGAAAGAAAGAGGAGATAAAAGGGAGATAATGATAAAATGTATTCTGTCTGCGTCATCACCTGCAAAGACAGATGTAAAAAGAACAGCACAACTAATGGATATAGTATAAGAGATACAATAAAGTAGTACCTTGATACTATCGCTAAAGTATAAGTAGTATTATTTAATCTGACATGTATACTGAGGTAGCTTAAGATAAGAATATGAGCTTTCTGTGTGGAAATATATCTCTATGTACCTGTAGCCAAGCACCTGTAGTTGTTTGTGAGAGTGCACTTGTGTATGTAAAGTTTATCCAGAGGAAAAATGCTCAGTAGTGGTTGTGGAGAGCTAAAGACCGGCCCCCCAGAGCACTGAAGCAGGCGCCGGGGGACCCAAAACCCCAGATGCCCAAAGGGATCCCCAGAGCAAAGGCGCCCAGGAGGGGACAGCCCAGGAAACCCGCCGCCACACCAAGGGAAGAGGGAAAACGTCCCAGAGGCTATGCCGAAGCCTCCAGGAGCCGCAGGGATGAGCCCGCGGGCTCTGCCGGCAGCCAGCCACCCCGAAGTGGAATCAGCCATGGGCCCCGGGGACCCCAGGCCCCAGTGGCGTCCCACCCTCTTCCGGGAGCCCCAACCAGACCCAGGGTGGCCAGGCCTAGCTGCTGGGAATAACCCAGCCCCCCACTCTGGCATCCAGCCCCAAACACCGAGCACCACCAATGTACCGGCGGGCCAAAGCACCAGCCATCAGATGGGGGCAGGACTGGGGAAATGGGCTCCACACTTAGCGGAGACTTGAGATGTTCTTCAGAGAGGGTGTGGTTCAGACAAATAAAAAATGAAAAGAAATAACAAAATACAGCCTCAATCATGACTTCCCACCCTCCACTCACAACACACAATCTTAAAAAAAAAAAAAAACAGCGTACGTACATTCCCACATAACACTAACATCCAATAATCCCAGGACTGAGGACCTGGCACCCCTTTGGAGCGCCTGTGCCCGGTGCCGGAATTACCCAGTAGGTGAACCCTTAAAAATCCCCAGAGCTGAAAAAAACAGGAAAAAAAAACAACACACTTTGGTTAAAGAAAAATAAAAAACAAAAAAAACATTGTAAAATGAAGCAAATATCTCCCTAAAAATACACTCCCCCAACACTGTCTTTTATTTTTTTTAAATAATATTGTTAAAGCAATATTTCCCCTTCTAAGCTTGCCTGTACTTTAATCTGAGCTAATAGTTTATACATATTAATATCAAATCAATTCATCTTATGTTTTCTTCCTTTTTGTAATTCTTATTTCAATTTTATCTGCTTTGAAATATTTAACTTTTTATACAGCTTTTATAAATGTTCCATACTTTAATAATGAATAAACTTTCTCTTTCCTCATTATGCTAATTCTACTTTCTACAAAGAAACAAAATAAAACAACACAATTTGTAAAGAAGGAAAATATTTCTTATCTTTAATTATTTTCTTTAGCACATGGTTAAGATTATATGATTTTGATAAACCTTTGCTGAATATATCAATGTAGCATTCTTCAAACACACAGCATCTTTATCATGCATATTAGTTTTACACATTTTAATTGAAGAGATAGTGACAGAACTTATAAAATAACTTATATAATGATAAATTATGTTTTTGACACAAGAGATACTTTGTTAGAAAACAAGCTAAAATATTCAGAGAAATAAAACTATTGCACGGGAAATGATTTCTTCATTGACTTATAGGGAACAATGGGGGCCTTTCCTTTAGTACATAACAAAAGTGCATACTCTTCTTTTTCCTCACAACAATGAAATACATATCTGATGTCTTACTTTCTTATGTTTTGAGCAGTGGATTTGTTCAAATATTGACAAAAGAGTCCTGTGTTTATTTGGCATTTTTCCTTTCATTAATTTAGCACACAAAAACACAAACTCTCATGTAGGGATTTGCAGTGAGCTGAGCAAAGCCACCAAGAACACACTGCTTTAGTTTGTGTTACTTTGTTTTCTGCAGTGATGGATATGAGCCTCAGAACTACTGATAAAGTCTTAACAGACTCTAAGTAATGTCTGCCACAGAGGTAAGCAAAGTTATTTCTGATCAGTCATGTCTAAGTGGTTTTCAAAGCATCTTCTTGCTGAGTTAGCTCCAGATGTGCAGCTTCTGGTCACCTGCTGATAGTTGCTGCAATCAAAGGCATCAGAGGTAGTGCCAAGGAACTGGAGAAGCGACAGGCTGAACCACACTCCATGGCATTTTCCTGCAGAAGACACACTTCACTGTTATACCTTTGCAGTAACTTAAAGGTAGTTTGAATTAGCTGATGCATTGTTTTGGCTAATCATCACATAACCTTTGTGTAGAATAACAAGTTTCCTACCTCAGGGTGAAAAGGATGACATGACTCCGGCTTTTTTCTATCTTTCTGGAGCTTGAGTCTGTCACATTTTAGAGACTCGTTGTGTTCAAAGAAGTCAAGGATAATAATGCATGAACAGAGCATAGCAGCTCACATTTAAACCTTCAAAGGAATTATCATTTCATCAACTTAAACAGAAATGCTACAATAAGCATTTAAGACAACAAAATTTGCAATTAAACAAAAGCATTTTGTCTGATCTGTAAAGGATATACATAATCTCAATGGGATCCATTGTTACAGGAGGAATGATGCTGCAGTCACACTTGTTTTCAACCACAACCATGAACAAGTTGCTGCTGGGAATCTGTTGTATGACAAAAGACCTGCAGTCCACACACAGATTGGAATTAAAATAATTATGGTGAAAAGTAGAAATTGCTTAACAATTGGATGTGCTTTTTCACATGAGTCTAAACTAGTACCTAACACAACCTCCGCAGTCAATGTTGCCTGTGGTTTCCTTAATGGTGCGTTCAGAGACAAAGGCTGGGTAAACTGTATCACATGGCACCATCATAGTCTTACCACGAATTCTCTGTGCTGCACAAAGAAAAACAAAAAAAAAACAGGTGCAGCTTTACCACACAGGCATCTTTCAAGATTAAAATAATTAACAATTTTATAATTTTTACAATTAAAATAATTAAGAATAAACACCTTTCACTGAGAAGTCCACATTCCACCAGCTATACAGATTGAATTCTAGCAGGAAACTATGAAAACATATAACAACATTTAAACATCTGTGCTTTGTGACAATTAAACTGAAGAATTAAACTGCATGATGTTATAAAGTCATTACATGACAAGTTCTGTCAGGAGCCACTTCACAAGTGAAAAAGGCTGAAAGAACAGACAGGAAGAAAACATTTTGTCTATATTTTTCTCACAGCTTTAACCAATAACTTTTACCACAGTTTAACAGATAATAATAATAACCAATAACACATAGGCAGTTAGCATAGTCATTTCTGAGAACTGTGTTCAGAAATGCAACAGCCCACAGAGTATTGGTTTTCCTTATTTAGTAGTATAAGATATTTCTTCCCAAAGACTTACATCTGATAAAGTGCGTGCGCTGTCGCTGCTCCCAGCATACTCCCTACAAAGGGCCTGGTAATCATACAGAGTGATTCTGCAACACCACAACAACAACATAGTTGTTTTTTTTTTTTTTTTTACACATAATTGTTATGATCTGTTTTAAATTTTGAGAGAAAAGTTAGTTTGTTTGACCTTTTGAAAGACCCCATTTGGAGAAGTTTGTTCATGACAGCACCCTCCACCTCTCCAAAGAAAAGCCCTGTCTGGGAGAGAATTGTTGTTATGCATTACATCACTGCAAAGTCTTATAGAAAGAACATGTAAAGAGCATCATATTGATGACAACTTTTAAAGGAACATTTAATCATTAACCGAATTTCTTCTTTAAAAATATTTCGTCTCAGCATGTAACCATGATCCTTTTGCATGGTGATAGTTTTGCAGGGACAACCCCCCCACCCCACCCCCATTTTGTCAATGACAGTTTTTTTTTAAAAGGTTAAAATAAAGTAATTACCTGAGATTGTTCCTCTGTAACAAGAATAAAGCCATTGTTGTCAATGAGGTAGCAGTTTATGTCCTGGATGATTGAAAAAGAAGACCGTTAAAAACCAAACAAATAAACTTAAATATACAGAGAGTAATATAAAAGAGTTCTTACTTCACTATCACAACTAATGATGCATTTTCCATCCAGAGCTGTGCACTTTGAAAAAAAAAAAAGATAAACAAATAGGAGTTAAGTTTAACTCATTTTTAGAAATTAAATTCTTTAAACATATTACATGAAATGGATTGAAAAACGTTGTGCATTCCAAATACCTGTCTACAAGCAGTCCAGAACTTCCTCTGAAAGTACTCTAGTTTCATTTGGATCCCCACAGCTGAAAACAGGAACAAGTAACAGCAAAGTCTGACAAAATAAACACACCTGTACATGGAAATTATGTAAAATGCAATTACCAGCAACAATTGGAGACTTCCTGTCATCGAGGAGCTGAATAGCAGTGCTGGCCAACACCACACTCTTATTTTCCAAAGCTACAAAACAGAAGGAAAATTTGGTTTAAGCTTTCATCTTATGATCACTAGGTGGCACCCTTTACCCTTCTGGAGAGAAATGGGATGCAGTTGGGTTTTCCTATTCGCAACAGTGATCAGTTGCTAAAATGACTGTTGTGACTGAACATTTCATGTAATACCAGCAGTAATTTTACTAAAATGGACGATAAAAAGTTGCAGAGAGAGCCAGTCTTCCATATCCTATGAACTATGGAATGAACCCATTCCATCATTATAATGACTCATACATTATGAAGTAAAAGAGATTTTCTGCATATCCTATCAGTAAAAATAATTAGAATAATAAGAATTTTCCAATTAAAGTTTAATTCATATCTTTCAATGACAAATTTGAATAGAAACCATGTAATTATACTAATGCTTGCATCAAAAAAAGTGCATCTCAGTGCATTACAATTTTACCAAAAGTTGGCTCTTTTAGTGCTTCAAAAAGAAAAACTCATATTGAATTTAAAGTCAGACTAGGCTCTTTCAAAATGCAATTTGAATGTTTGTCAAATCTATTTGTGTGTTTGGCATGCCAATTTCATCCAGCTTTTCAGAAACATGACTTTTAGATGAACAGGTCTCCAAATTGTTCCTAGGAGAGAATTTCTCATGGCAGTGCTATTTGTCCTGTGATGGACTGGCAACATTACTCAACATCATGATAACAGCTTACAGCTAATGAAACAGAAAATAAAATCCATCCACCCACTGCAGATTATCCTTCAGGGTCACGGTGGATTGGTGCCCATCTCCAGTGGACTATGCGCAAAAGGCAGGGTACACTCTGGAGAGGTAGCCAGTCCATCATAGGGCAACAAGGAGACAAACAACCATACACACACCCCTAATGTAACTAAGAGTCACCAATCATGTTTTTGTACTGTACAAAGCCATAGTGACGCACACACAAGAGGAAAACATTTAAACTCCATACAGAGAGAGACCCTAGGCTGGAATTAACCTTCTTTAATCAAGGTAACGGTGCTACAAGTTGCATCACTGTGCAGCTGTTCACATTTTGTGACTTTTCAACAATCTCTTAACTTGCTCTGGCTTCACAATCTTCTAAAAGCTGCAGTTTTAACAGTTTCTTACACATTTTTCACTTTCTAAACAGCCAGCTTCTTTAACAGTGCCCTTGAACACAGTGAAGACTGCAGTCTTCCCAATGATCGAGGAGATCAGAAAATGAGTACTAATCATCTAAAATCACTGGAGAACAGTCTATTTTACTGATGTTAACTTAACAAGTTT